AAGTCAGCCCCGAAGAAGGGATCTAAGAAGGCCGTTACCAAGACGGCAGGCAAGGGAGGGAAGAAGCGTAAGAGGTCTAGGAAGGAGAGCTACGCCATCTACGTGTACAAGGTGCTGAAGCAGGTGCATCCCGATACCGGTATTTCTTCCAAGGCTATGGGCATCATGAACTCTTTTGTCAACGACATCTTTGAGCGCATTGCTGGAGAGGCTTCCCGCCTGGCCCACTACAACAAGAGGTCAACCATCACTTCCAGGGAGATCCAGACTGCCGTGCGCCTCCTGCTCCCCGGTGAGCTGGCCAAGCACGCCGTGTCTGAGGGCACCAAGGCTGTCACCAAGTACACCAGCTCCAAGTAAAGTGTCCGTCAACGTTTTCCCCCCACCCAAAGGCTCTTTTAAGAGCCACCCACTTTCTCGGAAAAGAGCGTTCTCTTTTATTTTCTTTTTTCCTAGGTTTTATTCTATGCAAAATACTTTAGGCTGCCTCGTTATGATTGGCGCTGTGCAAATAAACTTTTCTTGACTGCTATACCCCATGTGACGACGTCATCTCTTCCGCCGATGTAGATCTTATGCTTACGTTTCTAAGAATACCTAATTAAGTGTTTTTCAACCTTGGGGTACCCTGAAATGCCTGGTAATTGAGAATTACTGATTTTTTTTCCAATTCATTTAAAAGATATGATTGAAACGCCACACAATTAAAGGTGGGCGATACATCGATTAATTCGAATTTTCAGTTTAGGACTACGTGTTTTTATGAACCGATTTTATTACCCATTTCACACGCAAGCGCCAAAAGCGAAACGTGCGACGCACCGTCCTTCACGGGTACATTAGTGCGCGCACCCAGAGAAAGGTGTTGCTACACCTGTAACATGAAATTAGTTCGGTTTTGCGCCGTCGAACACAGACCAAACGAGTCCTCGTTGCAAAGTCTGTTTAAAAACTGTTGCAACCAAAGAAAGTAGCACGACAAATTTATTCCAGCACGTAAAGCAGAGGCACGCAGCGGAGTCGGAGAAGTGCAGATCCCAGCTAAATGAAAATAGCCGCAGCACCAGCACAACATCCAAAGTTAAGCAAGTAACAGTCCCTGACACGTTTTCAAACTCTGTGCTATATGATAAGAATGGGGCACGGTGGAAGGCCATAATAAACGCTCTCGCGATGTATATTGCAAAAGACATGGTGCCCATACATATACTGTGGAAAACCCGGGATTCATTAAGTTTTTACATGTTTCTAAATGTGTTTACAATGGCGTGGTCTGCCATCTCAAAATAATCTTTTTTTGGCTTGTCAGATTGCACTTTAACCCTAAAGTAAAAAAAAGCAAAATAAGGAACTTGTTTTGAACCATTTATTTGCCATCTGTAGTTTGACTTTGAGTAGGGTTATTAATAAATTTGAATGAGTTCAAATAAAATTATCGCGATCACCTTCAGCCTTGTAAAGACAAGCTCGCCTAACTACATGTGATCAGGGAAAAAAAGTGACTTTGTGCACTAAACTGGCTACTCTGTATTTGCAACACGGTATAACAAACATGATCAAAAACTAATTCTAGGGGGAAAAAATGTCTATGGGGTCGCCAGAAATTTGTGATGTCAAATTGGGATCACAGGCCAAAAAAGGTTGGGAACCGCTGACCTAGTTCTTCACCTGAGTATTCAGTGAAACGTCTGCTTCCCACAATACACAAGTACTTGATAATATGGGCTTGGGAAAGTCGCAGTAGAACTTAGTGTTTGAATTGAATGCAAAACGTACAACAAACTAGCTTATGTACCCGAGAGCTGCGGCTCGATGATCGGAGGTTGTAACGCAATGCGATGCTTGAGAGTGGCGTTTCCGTCGAAGGTAAGAAACGGTTAAATGGCAAAGAATTGGTTAAATGGCAACTAACTTAGGGGAAATCGTAAAATATCGCAAAAAGTACTTGCGTTCTCGATGTGGTCGTCCAGGTGAGTGTTCTATTTTCCCTGAAGTAATTTAATCAATGTCCCTTTATTTGAAAATGTTTGTAAATTTATCTTTGTCTAGTCTGTGTCTCTCCATGGATATGCCTCCCCAGACCATCACTGACCCACCACCAAACCGGTCATGCTTAATGTCACAGGCAGCATGATGTCCTCCACGGCTTCTCCAGACCCTTTCACGTCTGTCACATGTGCTCAGGGTGAACCTGCTCTCACCTGTGAAAAGCACAGGGCACCAGTGGCAGACATGCTAATTCTGGTATTCTATGTCAAATGCCAAATCGAGCTCCACAGTGCCAGGCAGTGAGCACAGGGCCCACTAGAGAACATCAGGGCACCCTTATGAAGTCTGTTTCTGATTGTTCGGTGAGAGACATTCACACCAGTGGCCTGCTGGAGGTCATTTTGTAGGGCTCTGGCAGTGTTCATCCTGTTCCTCCTTGTAGATACCAGTCCTGATGATTGGTTAAGGACCTTCTACGGCCCTGTCCAGCTCTCCTAGAGTAACTTCCTGTCTCCTGGAATCTCCTCCATGCCCTTGAGACTGTGCTTAGAGAGCACATTCTGGAGGAGTTGGACTACCTGTGCAACCTCTGTAGGGTCCAGGTGTCACCTCATTAATTGATTTGATGCTATACTCTGATTAAAGTGTTCCTTTAATTTTTTTTTTGAGCAGTGTATATGTTCATTGTTGACATGGCCATGCATTAACATCCAGAGCATTTTTTTCAGGTTCCCAATCTATGTGAAATTATGCTTTTGTTTTACCAAGTAATAAGGTGATAAAACTGCATTCATAGAATGCTCTTCTCCAGTCAGATTTCTTGGTTGGAACCAACTTGTGTAATTCTTAATGTTTATTTTCCACATATAATCTTTAAATTGTATTTCATAAGTGATTTTCATTAGACAACCATTAATTTCACATAATGCAAATATTTCTTATAGTTTTAATTATTTCACAACTTCTACTTTTCGAGTTGTAGGCACGCAGTTTTGATACAAAAGTACGTGTTAAAAGCTGTTTCAGCACCTTGGTTAATACTCTTCCATTCAAGGGTTCAATCTGTCTGTAATGCACTATGTTGCATTGTGTAGTGCATTATGTTATTTACGCTTACAGATACCTTACAACTAAATCCCTGGTGTGTGTGTGTATATATATATATATATATATATATATATATATATATATATATATATATATATATCGCAGGCACCATAGGATAAATCATTCTCAGCTGGCGTGTTAGGCTTACATTTAAAGCTGTATGCAAGTGTTTGAACGTACATCGACATCCACAGGATGCAAGTGAAACTACAGTTTGTGTGGCCAGGGTAAACTGACTGATTATATATAGACACCCCAGATAGCGTACATACGCATGCAAAAACACTTCACTCGCGTTTACCCAAAAGTCTCAAAAAACAGAACCCCGAAGGTTGCTCAGTGTTCCATAGTTCATACTGGAAATGACACTAATTCCTTGGTGGTAATACACGCGGCGACACATAAAACCAGCATGGCTCATCTACACAGCATAATCGCGCGAGTTGACAGGCTCACACGATATCTTACTGCGCATGCGTTTAACTCCACTGGGCTGAAACTGCAGCTCCGCACTCATGTTCGTTCTCGGTCTTGGCGTAGTACGAGTATGCCCTTCCATTGTTTCACAATAGCAATAAAGCTATAAATCAAATTTCAGGCTTTGTAGCTTCTAGTCTAATGAATTGAAGGCTCTTGTATCCGAGTTGTATCTGACTATATGTAGATGCTAAATCGGCCGTCGACTTCTACACACAATTACAACTAGGACAGAATTTATCGATCGAGCGTCGACACGTTTATTCAATTGCTATATGGTTTGAGAATTTTGTGCATAATTAACACGTCTAGTTTTAGTACACTAATCTGCACATAATCAAAATCTTCTCCTGGTACTAGTTCCCCCAAAGAACGGCCGATGAGAAAGATGACGTTAACTAGAATATAGCAATCAAAGACAATTTATTTGCGCGGCGCCCATCATGCCAAAGGCAGCCTGAAGTATTTGACATAGGATAAAACACAGAAGAGAAAATAGAAGACACCGCTCCTTTGCGAGAAAGTGGGTGGCTCTTAAAAGAGCCTTTGGGTGGGGGGGAAACGTCGACAGACGCTTTACTTGGAGCTGGTGTACTTGGTGACAGCCTTGGTGCCCTCAGACACGGCGTGCTTAGCCAGCTCACCGGGGAGCAGGAGGCGCACGGCAGTCTGGATCTCCCTGGAAGTGATGGTTGACCTCTTGTTGTAGTGGGCCAGGCGGGAAGCCTCTCCAGCAATGCGCTCAAAGATGTCGTTGACAAAAGAGTTCATGATGCCCATAGCCTTGGAAGAAATACCGGTATCGGGATGCACCTGCTTCAGCACCTTGTACACGTAGATGGCGTAGCTCTCCTTCCTAGACCTCTTACGCTTCTTCCCTCCCTTGCCTGCCGTCTTGGTAACGGCCTTCTTAGATCCCTTCTTCGGGGCTGACTTTGCTGGCTCAGGCATGGTTTCGTTGGGGTACAAAACAATAACTCGGCTATCTTTGCCCCTGCGCTCCTTATATAGGGACGGTATGCAAATTCAGCCCGTAGCGCCGCTACTTACGCACACGGGATTTCATTGGCGAGTCTTTTCCCGGTCGCCTCTCTTCGAAATCTATTGGTTGGTTCCTCCAGTGTCGCTCTTGCGCCGTAGAACAAAGTCCACATTGCCTTGAGATATTAAAAATCATTTAAACGTAGTTTTATCTTCCCTTCCTTTCATCGTGGTCACTGCCTTGCTTTTATCTGCATAAAGGTGCGAATTGCCCAAACAAGCATGAAACAAATCACCTATGATGATAAATTCAGGCCAGTGCCGGGAGGTACAATCACCCATGAAGTATATTTGATCGATAAAGAAGGACTGTATAGCGCAGGTTTTGGTTTGGAGCAGGGGGGCTTAGCCGAGGGCAAATATTCGGCAACGGTTGCAATGAGGCGACACTACAGAACCATTACGTCTTTTATCATTAAAAAATAAAAAAGACAGGACGGGGTAAATGCAGCCTCAGTATTTGAATTTTCGGCGGTAGAAAACTAGCCAATGAAAACACCCCGATGGAAGCGCCATAGCCTCCTACCCAATCAGGGCACGCCTGCTGTCCTTTATAATTCGACGGTGCGGCGGTAGCTAGTTATACTGTAGCTTCCCCTGCAGACTTGTGTTGCGATGGCCCGTACAAAGCAGACTGCCCGTAAATCCACCGGAGGTAAAGCTCCTAGAAAGCAGCTCGCCACCAAGGCAGCTCGTAAGAGCGCTCCTGCTACTGGCGGCGTGAAAAAGCCTCACCGCTATAGGCCTGGGACTGTAGCTCTGCGTGAGATCCGTCGTTACCAGAAGTCTACCGAGCTACTGATCCGTAAGCTTCCCTTCCAGCGCCTGGTGAGGGAAATCGCTCAAGATTTCAAGACCGATCTGCGTTTCCAGAGTTCCGCCGTCATGGCGTTGCAGGAAGCCAGTGAGGCTTACTTGGTTGGTCTGTTTGAGGACACCAACTTGTGCGCCATCCACGCCAAGAGGGTAACCATCATGCCCAAGGACATCCAGTTGGCGCGTCGCATTCGCGGCGAACGTGCTTAAGGTCTGGGCGCCAGCGGTCCGCCTTGAAAAACCCAAAGGCTCTTTTCAGAGCCGCCTCCATAGTCCAAAAAGAGCGAGTCAAATTTAAATTCCTCATGTCCAAATAAGCATTAAATTGTTTCTAAACTTTTCTTAACTCCAAAGATTGTTTTGGTAAGCGTGAGGGATTTCCAGACTTAAAGCTATAGGTTTGTAACAATCTTTTTTTTTTTTTTTTTTTTTTTTTTTTTTTTACTGAACTAGTTTAGTAACCTTTAATTTGGGTTTTAGTGATAATTTGAATAAGGCTTCATTTCCCGTAGAAAACGATTCAGCACCAGCACAGCGTCGTAAGGCTCCACTCTGGGGAGGGGGGGAAAGTTAATGCTGTTGGGCGCTAGATGTCAGGAGAAGCCTTATTGCAGCGCTGCGAAAGCTTCTTAAAACCACGCGGTTGGAGAAACACTTTTGCAAGCTAGTCTGAAATTCTCACGTTCCTTGGGCTTCCCCTCATCGCTGGAAAGGTCGTTAAAGGAAAATAGGAACAATCCCAATGTTTGACCCCCATTTCCTCCCGAATTTTAATTTTGTAACCGTCTATAATGCGGTTACGCAACCGGCTAGATTTAAGCGCAAGTGATGAATTTTCCCAATACAATTTATTTAAATAAGGCTACTGAGTTGTTCTATTGGACTGACATCTCTCCTACGCAGAAACGTGCATTCCTTCCAGTTTCTTAGTGCTTCATGTAAATGACCAAATTTCTACAACCTACATATGAAATAATTGGACTCTGAGACTGACTTGTGGTCCTACCTCTACGGACACTCAAGCAAGATATCAGTGTTAGCAGTGCTTGAAGTGGGAAAAAATAAGTGCAGGAACTCTAATTTTCCGACGTTTGACATTTGTGCGGTGAAAAAAAAACCAAGTCTTTAGGATGTGTTGGTTCAAAAACTATTTTTATTTAATCATTCTTCCAAGCAATAACCTATAGGCATAGGCTACTTTTTTCTAATTCACAAATGGAATACTGGAAAACCATTAAAACAACATATAGTGTTTTATCGGTCTTGTGATATTGTCTATTCTCGGGCCACTGTCGCTGCGTCGGATCAGTTTCAGTAAGTACCGGAACGCAGAAAAAAGTGGCGGAACCCAAAAGACGAAAATACAGAAGTTCCGGAACTGTGTTCCGGCCCACTTCAATAAGCATAAATCGCTTAATAGATATATTTCACAAAAGTTGCTTGATTGATTACAGCCATTTGGGTCTGGTTTGTGCTTGTAGCCTAGATGGACAGTGGTGTCTAAATTACTAGTGCGCTTCCCTATCCATTAAAAGATTGCTGGTTCGAATTCCCAACCAGCAAGGTGCCACCCCAAGCACTGCCCCCTGCTGTCACGTCACATATGGGTTAAAGGCAGAGGACACGTTTTGTGTGCTGTGGTGTGTCAACAATGACCACTGATCACCAAATTCTAACATGTCACTTTCTACATACCTAAATTCAGGTACTCTGATTATATAGCTTCTGACTGGCAGAATTATAATCCCCCCACCCCACCATACCATGTCGTAGTTGTGGCACTAGTAGTAGTAAGATGAGAAAGGCAGTGGTCAGGGCTCTTCCCTATGATTTGTCACGCCCACCATTGAACTGTGGGTTCATAAGAGGCTTCTAGGCCCAGCCCCTCGTTCCCAGCCGGCAGGACGGTGGGAACGCTGTGCGGGACGGCCCGTAATTGCCTGCTATTTATAACCTCCGTGCACAAACTGTCAAGGGACACTCCCCTGGGTCTGGTTGCAGGCAACCCTGCAATGCTTTGGAATTTAACCCAACACAACTTACCAGATGTGATGGAAAACATCCATGCAGCTGCTTAAAGGTTTTTTTTTTTTTTTTTTTTTTTTAAACTCTTATTGGTGTCCCTTTGTTCCTATAGCCCGATGAAATGACTGGGCTTAGACTCTTACCCCAGGAATGTGAATTTTGCCCAATTGCTTGGGTGATGGATCACTGGGGAAGACATGTCCAGATACAGAAGGCCGGGGGATTTGCTCACACATGAGGTGAGTACTCTCACGTGGCAACACAAGAACATGACTGATTTTCATACAGGACGAGAAACTTGCACACATGCCCACACACAGATGTATGTTTTAATATTTGAACAAACTTCCAAAAGTAGACAAAGGTAATTTACTTCTTGCTTTCTTTAATTAAAAAAAAAGATTAATTGCAGTTTGTTACACTGATGGCCATGTTGCAGAAATGGTTACATGAGGCACGACAAAATGCAAACAATTACTTTTGTTTTTTTTTGTTTTTTTGCTTAAATACATACACAGAGAGGAAAGGGGAAAATACTATATTGTACTGAGTTTGAGACTGTTCTAAGGCATCCATGTTGCTTTTTGGTACCATTCAGCTCAGAATGTATGCAGATTTTTCCTAAGGAAAGCCCCTCCTCTTCTCAGCAATACCCTGCTCAAATACAGTGACACATTAAAAAAAACACAGCCGGTACACCAGCAGGGACAGGGGTGACTTGCACTCGATCGGTTACACATTTCCGTTCTAGAAGAGCCGTACTTCTGATTTATGAGTAAACAAGCCACAATAATTCAGGAAAAACAGCCTCCTGGGGGGGGGGGGACAGACACAGCCCTTTCAAAGGGCGACATTTCCTTGTGTGCATGTACATATATATGCCGGCGGGAGCGGATGTGGATCTGCACAAAGCCCCGGGGGGGCGGCAGCCATCCAGGACTGATTGGGCCGGTCCCAAAACAAACTGATTTTTCAGATCCACATGGTCACTCTAAATATGAAGTGGTCCCAGCAAACCATGCCAAGCGTATGCACTGACAGAGCGCGCCAATGCAGGCCACATCACGGTGTCACACCATGAAGTAGTGCGAGACGGTGCCCCGCCCCTCAGCTGGACACTTTTGTTAATTTGATAGTTAGTTCTGGAACCCAGAAACGCCCAGGCTTTCAGTTTCACTGCAGGCCTGGTGGCAATGGTGTGCAAGGCTCATCAACACCGAAAATCGGGCACTAAGGCACTGCCTGTTAACCACTGCATCCATTACGCCCATCACAGCATGGCACAGCTATCTCCAAAACGATCTGTAACAAGCCTGTACGCTCAGCCACCCAAGTATTCAGGCAAGGGGGTTGGATCCTTGTGATCCTTTAACAATCTGCTGTACCTGGTCCTTTTTCCTCCTGTGAGGAATCACAGGCAGTTTTGTGGCTGAGTCATTAAAATCAACAAAACATCCACATCACTAATACAGGAGTTACAGATGCTTTTATGAATAACTTCTGCGAAATGTATAAGCAATACATGAAAGGCTAGCTTGTGCCTTTGACCAGGGTAAAATATATATATAAAAATAATATGATTCTTTAATATACATCCAGGAGAGCACAAGTGCAATTGTTTAGTTTGCAACATTTCAGCAAACCGCTCTTTTTTTTTTTGCCTGGATGTTTGAAATTGTCCCTCGTTGACCCGCCTCTGCGTGATCTTGTTTGGGAGATCGCAGTAACCACCCCTCATCCCAAAGCCCGTTGGGGAGGGCAGCGTATATCGAACCTCAATGTATGGCGTGTGTGGTACGAAATACAAGCACCGTCAGGATGCGACAGATTGTTGAAATAAAACAACCATCACCAGCAAACCCGGATTCACATGCGCTCAGGCATGTAGGACCGTACAGAATTCCACCCCCTAGTGTTTGTTTCTATGTGAGCAATTCGGTCAGTAAAGGCCCTCTTGGTTTGGCTCTCGTGCATTGTGGGACTTTTTTCAGTATTCAGCAGTAGATAAATGATTACTTTAAATAACATAAAAAATTTGCATAGTACTCGTGACGGTCGGGGTGAGGGCAAGGTCGCTGGGGGTATGTGGCGGCTGGGGGGGGGGGGCGGCAAATAACCCCACAGCCGGATCCGAGGGAAAGAGTCTATGGTGATGGCACAGACACCTCCAGCAGTCGGTTGTTCTTGCGCTTACAGGTGACGCTGTTGCCATTCTTTGGTCCCCCTTGGAGAAACTTAACACACACTTTGTCCTGCTTGAATTGCACTAGGAACCTGAGTGGGGAGAGATGAGTGTTAATATTTTCTTTTTTAATTCAGGGTTTAAGTGCCTGCAAACAATAGCCACCTTTGGTTCAACTTGGCCAAAACTGTAAAGTGACAAAGATATAAATAATCTCACATCACTAGCAATAACAAGGAGTACCCCCCTCTGCAAAAAAATAAAAAACAATATACATTCACTATTCTGAACACATGACCAAAGCCCTGCTTGCACACTGAGCTTTTAGCGGTTTAGGGTGCATTGGCTGAGGCCAGGGTTCCCACAGGAAAATGGACACGGGATCTTACTCGTCCAAGATGTCAACATTGATCTGCTCCCTGTCCTCGCAGCCGGCCTTGGTGCGGTGGAGCTTGGTGATGATCTCAATCAGCCGCTCGCTGCTGAGCAGGAAGTCTCCCTTTGCTGCGGACGCAGAGCCCTGTGGGTGAAGAGTGAAGACGGAGAGGCTGGGAAGGGCTAGCAAAGGCACGTAGGTATAACAGTGACTAGGAGGGGAAGGTAATGGTTAACAGTAAACTATGTATACTCTGCTTTTCACTGTTGCGTTTAATTTTTGCCAATTTGGCCAAAATAAAACCTCCCCGATTTTACCTGTCATGAAATTTTAAAAGGACAGACCTTTTTTAATGCAGATATAAATAGCGACCGTGTGGGAATGTGTGACAGATCTTCCTGGGTCGGGCTCCCTCACCTCCTTGAGCCGCAAGGCAAAGAATCCATCAGTCTGGCTGCTGACAGACACCCCGGAGACGTCAGCCAGCGGCACGCTGGCCTTGAGCTGCCCCGTTTTCAGGTCTGCCAGCATCAGACTGCTCTTAGTCAGAAGGAAGATCCGAGCAGCACCCTGAGGAGAATCGGCAGGCCTACAATTAACCTTTGTTCTGAACGTCCTCATGCAGGACGATATACATTGTAGGATTATTATGACGACTAGGATAGGCAGTAATTGACAATCTGGCACTGTACCAGTTGACTTTAGTTCAGGGGCCTGGTTGTTAGGTCTGATCACTTGGGGCTATAGCCCTGAGTATTTTAAGCCGGGCCCCGAGTATTTTAGCCCTAATGCCAATCTTCCTTCAAAAAACAAGTCAAGCCCCAGGTAAATTTGACTTTTACCCCCGAACAGGGGAGTTTCTAGCAATTGAAATGATCTGGGGCTAAGGCTAAACTGGATTTCGTAATCCATATGAACTGCTACATGCAGCCACTGAAAATCCTTAATAACCAAGAAAACATGAAGCAGGGCCTTGTGAAATCAAGGTAGGAAACTTGCCTTGCCATTTGCTCGGTTGATTTTGTTCACCACATCCGCAATGATGACTTTCTCGTCCACCAGAGTATTCAGCTTCTGGTACTTGGGGTTCATTTTGATCTCTAGGTAGTCGCCCCTGAATGGCTGCCCAACACTGCAAAAGATGAAAAAATTCATGGTCTAGTTTGACATCCCATAGCACATCACTGTAGCTACTTCATCCCAGGCTGATGCATTTCCTCTGCTTGGGTACAGGGCCTACATGCTTGGATACAGGGCCTACATGCTTGGATACAGGGCCTACCTGCTTGGATACAGGGCCTTCTTGTCTTTGAAGATCTCACTAGCTTCCAGCTTCTCCTCATAGATGGCCTTCTTCTGTTCTGTGAACTGCTCCCTGTATTTCTTGCACTGCAGATGAAAACAACAATGCTTGCCATCTTAGCGCCTAAAATTGAGGAAAACCTATCTATAAGCCAGAGTGACATATGAGGCACAATATTATTGCATGTTTGCATGTCACTCATCTTGATCTTTTGGTCCAACCAAGGTTTTCAGTATGAGATACAAGAACATTGTATGGAGTTCACCAACCCTCCACAGATGGAAGATCCTCCTCAGTTCTGTGTGAGTTCCCTCCAAGAACAGATATTGACGGGGTGGCCAGCTCTTGTCAATGGGCGACATAGAAGGCATAGTCTTCTTCAATTCCAGGAAGTACTTCTGCATCTGAATGAATAAACATCGAATTTTAAATGATTAGTTTAAAGGGGCAATTCACCCCCAAACTGAAAAAGATGCATTTTAGAGGGGCTGCAGAAGGTTGTTCTTGCCTAGTTTAGAGATATTGGCCGTAAAAATGGTCTTGAATATAATGGGATCAAATGGACCCCTTGAACAGCAATGTCTCTTACCAGAATTCATGACTTCTTTACTCAAGATAATCCACAGACTTTGGTAGAAGAAAACAGTTCCTACAGTAAACTTCTCACTGCTAACTCTATACACCAATCGTATCACTGCACAGAAGATGTCACTGGGATGCCTGTGCTCATATCTTCTGTGTCGTGATACGACTGCAGCATGGAGTCTGGTAGAACTATTCACTACAAAGTCTGGATTATTATGAGAAACAGGGTCATGAGCTGCATAATATAGAAATGTGATCAATAGCAGTAAATCACAATTTAGAGGAAAAGTGATAATTTTGGTGGCATAATGCTGGATACCAAATTTTTACTCACAATTCTCTGAATAGTGAATTTGTAGATCTTCTTGCCAGCATTGGCTCTGAAGAACTTCCTGTACTCGCGACGGACCTATAAACCAGATGGACAGGCGTCACAGAGTAGCCCTAAACGGCAGAGCTCCTTCTGGGGGCGCTGCCACTAGTAGAGCACAGACGTGGTAGATGACATCATGTTCCTGGATGAAACGCCCACAGAGCCGCAGAGAAACCTTGGTATAAAAGTCTAGAAACTCTAATGATGAAAAGTGCAGTTTTTCCTGAAGACCAGATTCTTCATTGGCGGAAAACTTAACTCTCTCCTAAAGAACATCATTAATGCGTTTTGAAAAAAGGCCAGGCTCAAACATACAAGCTAAAAAGTCAGTGAATCAGTGTGTCGCAATGACATCAAACCATGAAAGGAGACAGCAGAAGTGAGCTTTCACGCCGTGATTTCTCATGGTGACACCACGCAAGGAGAAAAAAAAAAAACCTGAAGGCAAAAAAAATGGCGGCATGATTAAGGGGAAAGAGAGAGCGAGAACACCGAGATGGAGGAGGTCTGGAGCACAGAGCTCTGGAGCTTGTGTGTGGACTGTGGTGGGAGCCAATGGGGCAGTGTGTGAGCAGGACATAGCAAGCAGAACAGGCAGACGAGACGCTCAATCAGCCAGCCTCATTCACTTAGCCATAGTCGTCACACTGTTTAAAGTGTTAGGCGAAAGTGATAAAAGCAGTAGACATTCAATTACACAGATTATCAAATCAAATCTGACAGATCTGTGTAATTTCACAGGAGAGATATTAAGTCTGATGACATCTGGAGCATATGGCCATTGCTTATCAATACCAGCGTGTCGGAACGGTGATTGGAGGCTGGCTGCATCTAGGTGCTTTTTAAATTTAAGGTTATTCAGCTGTCAGTCATCATTAAATTGGGCCGTAACTGGTCTGACAGGCCAAACCTTGGACACCGAGGCTGGCTGAGTCAGCATTCACACCCTCCAGCAGGGCGGCGCTGAGTGGGGTAGCAATGGAGAAGAGGGCATATACAATGATACCTTGAGTCCCAACCAGTAGGCCCAAATGACAGCAACAGCGTGCTTACGCCTGGCCTCCTCCTTCAAACGCCTCAGCTCCCTGCGTGCCTGGGGGAAGATGAAGAGGAACCGTCCAATAGGGGGAAGAAGGGGGCAGGGTGGAGGGCATGGATTCGGCAAATGTCACATGACCCTCTGACAAACATGTTTGGGGTAGCCGAGAAGGAACTGCCTAAATTTTCAATACAAGTGCTCAGTGAATTTTAGTTATCCTCATAATTTCAATGTGATGTATTCAGATCATTGCTGCATGTTGCTGGCCAGCCATATTGTTTGCATGAAAACCACATCCAACTGAAGAGGCTAAGATTCTTTAGAGACACCCACATTCCTGAAACAGTGGTGATGGACAAGACACTCCATCTGCCCCTTACACAATCTACAACTACGTAGACCCATAGAAGGCACCAGCAACATTTAGTTTCTAATTGATTTTGAAAATGAAAACGAGCAAGGTCACAAAGGTGATGCATTTGTGAATCCACGTCACTATGGGGCAGAACGGCAGCATGAGATAAGAAAGTGGACAAGGCATTAGCAGGAGAAGAGGCCGTGCATGCAGAAGGGTAGAGAGATGGAAGAGTGCTGGCCATGGTGGATGAAAGACATGCATGACTGAGACATGACCCAGAAAGGACCAGGACCAAACTTGCAGAGCTGTGGTGGAGCTCCACAGAGCCCCGGATCCCCTCATTTCTCCTATACCTGCTTTGTCTGAAGTCCATCTGGATCAGTCCTAACCCATCAGATACTTGAACAATGCAGCTGAGTAGAATGTGATTAAAAATGCATTAAAACCCCGCCCTCACTACATAAAGGGATCCTTCTACCGACTCTGTAGTAAGGATGCAAGGAGGTAGAGTGACCATATAATCAACTGTCAGGAAGGACACTGAGCTACTTCAGGTTTTAGAAACTAATTAAAAACTAAAAGGCTCCTGTGCTTGGCTAAATAGTTCATTTATTCTTGTGCTTTGAGTGGTTTGTTTGCTTAATTGAAAGGCTCGTCCATTCGCATTAACATTAGTGATACATGCATGATTATAGGATGCTGACCAATCAGCAAACAGCACTAACTGGGTGCGAAAGTGAAATCCAGGTCCTTTTAATTGAAATGATAGTTTGCAAATCCTGTCCTTGCTCAAAGTGCCCTTTCTGACATGGATTATCTGGTCATACTAATGGAGGTAGAGGTGCTTTGTTTGTTTCCCCAAGGCAGGTGACCTAACCAGACTGGGAACTAATGATCATGCAGATGGTCAATGAATACATGCTCTGAAATGGGAACATGAAGACCAGAGATGTGGGTGAACCCAGCTGTCTGGTGTTTACACGGAGATGGTCACAGCGATGGCTGAGGGGAATGGGGGGGGGGGGTGACAAGGGCAGCGGGCTTCCCAAATACCTTCATCCCCTGCCAGGAGGCCCAAATGACAGAGACTGCGTGACGTCTCCGCTTTTCCTCTTTCAGACGACGCAGTTCCCTCCGTGCCTGGTAGAGGGGTGGGGTTTCGTTTTTTTGAGACGGGGTAGAGGCATAGCGCCCCCCGCCCAGTGAAATCATCGCCAAGCAATCATCAGTTAAGCAAGAGCAAGAGACAGACTGTGCACTGGAGGTAAGGTTCTGCTGAAGGACTTCTACGGATGTCTCTATGGCTTACAGAACTACCCACTGCAGACAACAGAAAACGGTATCACACTAAATAACAGGCTTCCCCACAGAAACACCCCAAGTACAAAGAGCTAAAACAAACTTTACATTCATGATAAGGACCCTACACAGGATGCTGACCAGTCAAACTAGTCAAACTACACATTTGTTTGTATATGATAAAGTACTGTTCACAGAGGTGCTTTACGCTCCACAGATAAGTGAATAAATACATCATTATGATTACATGACAATGTTAAACGTGAAAATCCTGGTACAAACACAAATGTATGTATTATTGCACTTGTGCAGTGTGAATTATTTGAGCCCGTCACCATCACTAGAAAGTAATCTAATGCAAGTGAGCCATTTCCTTCAAGGATTCTTCAGGTTTGTACAGTGACAATGCAAGGACCAAGGAACAGATGGAAATCAATGACAAATTCCAAGTTGACAGAAATCTGTGACCAAACTGTGACTACATTATTGGTTGGGTTTCAATATTAGACAGACCTTGGCAAATGAAAGTTTTCTTTGGCTTAGTTACCAGTAAAAATTCAAACTAAACCAAATGGCCTTGTATTAGTTAACTTGGGGGTAGGGAGGAGGTGATGATAGTAAAGAAATAAAAGTAAAATTTAATTTAAAAAGGTTTGGACTTTGCTAGCTTGTAATCATAGTCAAGGTTTCATACAGTACTAATAGGGGAAATCACTGTGGACGTCAGATCAGAATTAGTGTAAACAATCAAAAAAACAAACAAATGTAAAATGAAGATGGTGGCAAATGTGTAGCTGGAGTATTGCCAAAGTCTATAGTTCCTGCTTTGAAAACCTAAGAAGGAATAAAACCCTTGAAAAAGTGAAGGAATGGGAAGGAAGATCAGGGACTGTGGGGGTGGGGGGTGGGGAGACAGCGAGAGGCTGGATGGAAAGGCTGGGGCTATGGAGGGCAGCAGGCTTCCTCTATACCTTTGTCCCCAGCCACGATGCCCAAATGACAGAGACTGCGTGCCTATTCCGCACTTCCGTCTTTAGGCGGCGGAGTTCCAGGCGCGCCTGTGGGGGGTGGGGGAGGTGGACGCGGTCGGAATCGCGACGATATGGCGGAGATTAGAGTGCAGATGGCGGGCAGAGGGAGAGAGAAAGAGAAGGAGGTGAGGTCAGGAAGCCCAAGCCAGAAAGTGCCGTCGAATGGAAGAAGAAAACTCAGTTAGTGCCAAAGTCATTCTCCTAATGGATCCTTTGTGATGATTAGCACATCAGAAGGGATCAGTATGTGGCCTATAAACACTACTGTAAACTATCAGCCACAGCAATAAAGGTCCCATTGAAATTTGTTCTATTATAACTTTATATGAGGGATGTAAAATATGCTGTCAATCAAAGCATAGCTAGAAGAATCTTTCCCCAACAGCTCAATTGGATCTACCTGTAGATGCAAACTACGGCTTTGTGAGCTGATAATCATCTCTGTTGAGTAATCAAGGTTGCCTGTAGGTCCAACTGGATGCATTTCCATGTGGGCAGTCAGACAGTTTCATTACTCCTGCCACACCTCCCAGTGCAGGCAGGTTCGTTACAGATGCAGTACCTGCGTGCCATGCCAATAAGCTGCGATGGTGGTCACTGCCTCCTTGCACCGCTTCTGGTACTTCAGCTCACGCAAAATCATGCGGGCCTGTGGCCAAGCAGAAAAAAAAAATCCTCCTTGTAAAAACATATCTGCCCAAAAAGCATGCCATCAGCTATGGCAAGACATGCAACCGCAGGTTTGATGCCCCAGTTGACCCACCTTCCACCCTCTGATGAAGGACTGCACCACGATGGTCGAACTCTTGATCTGTTGGTACTTCTTTTGTTGCTATAAACAACAGACTCTATTCAGCACAATAGACTGCTTATTTCAAAAGAGGAACGGTGTCCTCCACAGTGTCATGCCTGTCCATGACCTTCAGGACATGTGGCAGCAGTGTGTGTATAAACATTACACACATGGCATGAGGGTAGCAAAGCAGTGACCGCTTACCGCGTATCTACGATACCAAGCTGCCACAACAATCTGGCTCCTCTTCATAAGCAGGAAGAGTGTACGCTGCTTCCAACCGCGGTAGATTTTCTGGATAAGGGTAGCTAGGTCCTCCAAACACCGTGCCCTCTTCTCTTCCAGGGTGAAGAGCTGCAGAGGAAAGGTCACTGACATATGCATCCAGGAAAGGCTCATCCCTAGCTAAACACTGATGGGAATTATCACAGAGCTTACTATGACCTCCATCTGATTCAATCATCTGAGCTGAACAAGACAAGAACTTGACAAGATCTTGGTTCTGCTTCCTCTCATCCTCAGACTGTCTCAGACAGATTGTAAGAGTCTTGAAAAATGTCTAACAATTTAAAGGTATGACACATTCACTACATAAGATGGCACGTTGAGAAAACCTTTGATCTCAATCCACACCTCACAGGAATGCAGGTAGATCAGATGTATTGTCTCCTGAGATTAATGTCATGGACGCCTGATTGTCTGGAGTCCCTGGCCCATGTAGATCAAAGGTTTGTTTTGGCTGTGAGTCACCAAGAACTGATGCTACTGAAAATAAAAGGGGTGGTTACCGTTCTGGGGTTTCTGATGAAGATCTTTGAGCGTCCATAGGAAAACTCCTCTTGGGGGATCTGTAGGTCATTCAGTAGCACCTCCACTCCCTCCCTGAAGGTAGAAAGGGTTTTCATTTTGAATGGTTGCTTACTTCACATCTTAAAATATAAACATAGTTGTATAAATGAGTATTTTAAAAGCTAACACCGCTGTTAGGGGACTATTTTGCCAGAACGGACTAACAAAATAATAATCAAAAATATTGTATAAATGTTAGAAGTCAGAGAATGAATGCTCACAAACTTGTTGAGCCAACCCTCAGTCTCAGATACTAATCAGGACATTATCTCTGTTATGACACACAGAAACCTTGTAAGGGAAATAGGGCAGAATGATGCAGGCAGTTGCTGCCTAAACATGTCTGCGACCAAAGTGAGCATTGCGTTTCAGGTTGGCAACGGTCAATGAGTCCTATCGACTTACGACAGGCCGACTCTGCATGGACAATACAACTGTAACACTGATACATACACATGGGACAGAGCAGTTGCTGTTAGTAGCAAGGGAATGGTCACATTGTTGCACAAGGAAGACAGTATAGAGTAAGCAGTACTCAAGCTCTCGCTAGTCTAGAACTTCCTCTAAAACCCAAATTTCAAATCCTTTGGTTTCATGTGACACAATAAGCATAAGGGAAGTAAACTAGCAAACTCCCTTCGATAATTTTTGATTGCTCACGTCGGCGACCCCTTCTACCTGGCTGGGCCTCTCCAGTGAGGCCACGTCTGCTTGCAGAGCATCTTGTAACGCTCCAGGCAGGGTTCGTAGGCCTGGCGGAAAGCGTAGCCGGCACGGCGGACACGCACATTTTCCATCAGGCCCAGGTATCGCACCTGGTGGCACACTAGCGAGTCGGTGAAGATATGTGATGCTTTCTTATCATTGGGCTTGATGCACCTGGAGAATCACAACCAAAGCACAAGCATAATTAGCACAGAAATTTTGCTAGTATACCTGCTATGTCATAGCCAGCTGGCAAACAATGTCTTATCGGTACTCAAGTTTTAAGGCCGTATGTTCCTTTTACAGTGTTTGATCCACTGCCCAACATCTTAGCCATAGTCTAATGCAGATGGTCCCAGCAATCTGCCCTGGGGGAGTCGTGGACCTGCCTGATGTAGTTGGGGTTTTTGGTCAGCAGGTTCTTCATGAGCGTGCCCACCGAGGCTCGGAACTGGAAGCCAGCGGTGGGGGGCCTCTTTAGGTTGACCTTGATAGGGTTTCCTTCAGGAAAGAGTAGCTTCATCAGACTGTGGTTAGCTTTGTACATAGCCTGGGACAGGTCACGGTACAGAAGGTCATTATTCTTGTCCACAAAGCCCTCCACACGGTACAGCACCTAGACAGGAGATACGAAAAACAACAATCAGAACAACTAACTCATTCCCAGCTCAATGAATGGACACATAGGATAATGATTACATTAGCTTCCCTTAAAAGTCATGGTGTGTCTCTATTGCAGGGGTCTCCAACTCCGGTCCTGGAGAGCTACCGTCCAGTAGGTTTTCTATCATACCCGGCTTCGAATGAGCCACACCTGTTCTCAGGTAAATACCAGGAGCAGGTGTGGCTCATCAGAAGCCAAGTGGGACAGAAAACCTACTGGATAGTAGCTCTCCAGGACCGGAGTTGGAGACCCTAATCTAGTGACTATCCATGTTTGATCAATCCATTTTCTGTAACCGTTTATCCCATTCAGGGTTGCTGGGGGTCCGGAGCCTATCCCAGAGGCCACGTGTGCAAGGCAAGGAACAACCCAGGATGGGGTGCCAACCCATTGCAAGGCACACTCACACACTATTCACTCACATACATACCTACTGGCAATTTGGTAACTTCAATTAAACTCAGCCTGTTTTTGGACCGGAAGAAACCCCAAAACGACATTTGTATGCGTGTTCTGTTTATGTCATGATACCACCCGCACTAAAAGAAATTCCTTGTACTTCCCTGTACTTGGCAAATAAAAAGATTCTGATTCTGATATAGGGAGAATATGCAAACTACCACATACATGGAACCCTGGTGGAGACTTGAACCCACGTCCCAGAGGTGTGCGGCAACAGTGCTAACCACTGCACCACAGTGCTGCTCCGACCATGTTTCAGTATAACCATTTTGTGTTCACATGCCAATTCACAAGAGCTGATCTGTTGATATGACTGTCACTCTAATACCCTTCTACAATCCGATAGTTTCAACCCCATTCCCATAACCACTTTGTGCTGTGTCCCTGGGCAGGTCACCTTCCCAGCGTAATGCTGGATCCGGAAGCAGCTGTGGGGCAGGCTGTGGTCGGTGAGGAACTTTGAGTTCTTGCTCAGGCGGCTCTCGAAATGCTGGTGCTCAGCGCAGATGGTGTTGAGTTTGTCCAGGAACGTCTCATCGGTCACAGTTCCAGGCCGTAGACACTCCTCGTCCAGCATGGCTAGGATCCCACTCTGGTTCTGAGTACAGAAAGTATACTATTAACACAGACGGGAAGGTGAAAGACAAATGAGTTGGTACACAACTGATACCAAAGCATGATATTTTATGATGCCAGCCTACTACACACTCAATAATATCTATAAGCAAACGATTCCTCCCAAGGAGGCATCATAAAGATGTGACCTATAAACAAATCCTGTCAGTAACTCCACCTTCTGTTTGACTTAATATCCCAGTCCCAGAGTTACCCAGCAAACCTGTAGTTCATATTAATCCATTAAATTTAGCTTACTACCCCAAGCTCAGCATACAGCAACAGGAAATCCAACTCACATTCTCAATGAGGTCACAGATGATGGCGTTGTTGAAATATTCAATGTTGGTCCACTCTATCCCCTAGAAATGCAACGGCATGGTTATTCACAGAAGAGAGACTGCCACTTCCTATGTTTCTGGCACATCATTACTGAGAGAAGAACTTTCCTGAAAGATATCTTCATTCATTCTTCAGGACTGAGGTAGAGACAGATCACCAGTTCAAGTAATAAAATTCTCTTCCTACTCCTTACAGCGTGATGTTGAAAGGCCATTCCACCATTTTAGTTTCTTGGTAAAGGAATTTCAGTCATGTTCATTACTATTCCATCAGTGAGACTGATTAAAGCTGTCCTCCAAGGAGAATGGGTGCCCCCCTAAGGATAGACTCAGATCATCCGTGTGTTTACATTCCAAAGAGAAGGAGTCAATGCCCCCTAGGTCAGAAGCCGCCTACAGCAGCACCCTTCTGCAAAGGCTGAATTTATTTGGCACTAGCTGCAGCTCGGATGCCATCAGAATCCAGAATAGCAGCACCGCAGATGGGTGGTGAAACAGGCTATGCGTCTGTATGGCTGGATTTTGCTGGGGGAAATTCTGGAGAATGAGCCTGGTAATATTAACTACCGATTTGTCCTCCTTCCTCCTCTGCCCCTGTTCCTTTCCCCAAGCCCCCTCAGCTTGCCTCCTGAGGGGTGTTATTTTCCCATGCACTCCTCTGGATGGGGTCCAGGGATATGGAACATCGGTTGGGGGGGGGGGAGGGGAGTTGGGGAGGCACTGGGTGCATACTTTAGAGGTCTGAAATCAAGCAGGACTCGGCCTGCACTGCTTGTTTACCCCTGCTGGAGTGAAAGATTATCCCTGCGGACCACAGGGCGGAAATGGGGAGTAAGGACGAGAAGACAATGGGGCCGATTAAAAACCCCGTGATTTGTCTGTGCAAAACACAGGTGACTTCACCACTTCACTTTCTCCATTTTATTCTCTGATGCCAAAAGGAGACAGGAAAATGGCAGAATGGCAAGATGAGCCCTTGTGCTGCACCAGACTGCCCTTAGGGACAGGATGGCCAACGTGACACTGAGTGTAGAATGGTGCATCCGGTATTGAAACATCCTACTCGAAAGCCAGCATATGTGATTAAATAAACATACTGTATCAGTAGTCATGTGTAAGTATGTGTCTTTCTAATGACATCACTCAAAAGAGGACTTAGAAGTGACCAAGGCTAATCCAATAGACTCTACAGCACCTCCTACAGGTGAAACAGCTGTTCCTCAGTCGCTGAAGAGTAGGGTGAGCAGGCTCAGAGTGAGACTGTACGAGTGCCTGGCAGGACCTCACCTCCCGCACGTACTCCTCCTGCTCCTCCTTCAGCGTCAGCTCGATGAAGATCTGCTGCAGCTTCTCATTGCAGTAGTTGATGATAAACTGCTCAAAGCTGTTGTCCTGTAAAAAAAAAGGGAAGGCCAGAGAAAAGGCATTAAAACGCCTCTCTTCCATCGATCACCACGGCATCCTGTGTGGCTCTAGTGAAGCACTAATATGTCACCTTGTTCTTTCCATCACCTTTCTGCAGATCAGAACTTTGATTCCTGACCTCCCTTTACTTTTTACTACCTCTAGTCTTGAGCTAAAGGTAAAGCTAAAATGAACAAACCCAGTGCTGTTTCTCAATCCGGTCCTCGGGGACCCACAGACAGTCCCACGATTTGCTCCCTCCCAGGTCCCGGTAGACTGTCTGGCAGGGAGCTCAGAGGTAGCAAAAACATGGACTGGCTGTGGGTCCCCGAGGACCGGATTGGGAAACACTGCTGTAATGTTTAGTGTATGATGACCAACGATAATTCTATTTTGAAAGACATTTTAAAAAGAACTGGACAAAATTAACAGAACTAAATTTATCAGTCAGGAAGGTGCTCCGACACCTTCAGAGAGCAGAAATATAAACCAGTACAACATGAAGAAAGCCAATTTCCTCATACTTTACCCTTCATTGCTATATATTTGGCTGTCCAGTAGCGACAGCAGCAGGTCACACCTTAGTGGCTAGACAATCGTAACCATAACAACCCTTAAAAACACAGGCCTGCTCACTGATCTTTCAACTGGCTCTGTCTGCTCACACCTGGCACTGGAAGAACTATGCCACTGGCTGGCACTCAAATGGCACAGTCCTCGCAATCCGTGGCACACAGACAACATAAACAATTGGGAATAAAATTATTTTTTCACCCCCCAACATTAGGATTTCCTGTAGACCCATTTCCACTGCATCAATCATACTGTGCTGGGTTAGGATAGCAGAACATGCCTTCGCTCGTGATCCCAGTCAGCATGGTTAGAAGTTCAAAACCAATGAGTTTTGACGGAAGCAGCATGAGGGATGGAGCAGCACAACCATCTGAAAGCACCAGAGAGGATCCAGAGCGAGAACCTGGTGCTGATTGGAGATGCAGTACTTTAAAGCTAAGGCCAATTTTAGAATGACCTTAAAGACTTAGGTTGACTAATTCTTCCTTGTTAACTTTTAAACCAAAGTCTAATGACAACAATGATATCTAAGTGTAAACCTGAAGCATAAGAGTTATTAAAATCTTGCTTAATAATATTACTGTGGTCAGAAATTTGCAACTGCTGTATACTCTTAAATATTGATTGGTTCTTATCAAGTTATTTGTAATTTTATTGCAGTAGCACCTCCATTCCCTAGGGGGAGACAGAACAACCAGTACCCCTCCATTCCTCACAAACATATATAGCTGGTGCAATTGGGCACTCGGGAAGCTCTGGACTCGCCCTTCAATCACTTCCAAAAACGGTGCCACCCTGTGGGTACATTGAAATATTGCACTTCTGTGGCACAAGGGAAGTTCTTGATGTTGGCGAATCAAAATCCACTTCAGAACGGCTATTTGCCTGTCCTGTACCTCGTGTACCAGAGACCACAGCAGGAGCCAATAGAGAGGTGGTCCCAAATCACACAGTCCTATCAGAAAAGACTTTCTCAATGGGCTCATCCAGATGCACAGGGAGCAGCGCATTTCACATTCACACATTTCTGTGTGCTAGGAGTTTGCTGGCAGTAATTGTCAGGTTAGAGTTAAATTAAAAACGGAATTAATACTCTCAATTGATGCATGCGGGCCCTCTTTCCCACTGCGAGGTCTTGGTACTTACTCTATCCTGGCGTAATAACCAAGGATATTTGGGAGAAAAAGATATGGTTAGTGGCTGGCCAAGAGATTTAATGGCATGCTTCACAATATGACCACACTGCATAAATGGGCAAAGTGGTAAGCGATTACTTAGTAAAGATAGTTACAGTAAAATGAGTAAAGGATGTTGGCATTAAAGACCAAAATGAGATTCTGTACATCTTAAAGATGGCCACAATTGATGTCCTAACTGCTTAAATGCTCCATAAAAATCCACAGTGTTAATGCAGAACATCTCCATGACCATCTGCACATGCTGATTAACATGTAGGTCCCCCTACTGTGACCATCCAAAATACACACAGACAGAATCGTTCTCCAAGACATTCTGAGCGCTGGCCAACCTGCAAGACACGATCTCCCGCACCTTTTTCCTAACCCAACCTGCGTTCTTGGTTTGGGTCTTAAATCACTATTAGATACTTCTCAGGAGACATGCCCTGATTGGCTGCTGTCTCACCATTACACCAATGCTCAAATACCCTTTGACCTGCAGATCGAACATCTTCTTAGCATAGGAAACCAACCACCCTATCAAGAAGCAATGTTTGTACATGATGAGGGATCAGATGACCTCTACAGTTCATCATTGTCCCCAAACTGACTGTGCAATGTAGGTTGATGCAGTTTATGCTGAGAGTACAGCCCAGTCAGCATGCAGGCCTAAGCTTTTATATTCTTACAGCCTAAGGTTAGTCCATTGAGGAAGCTGCTTTTTCCATTACTGGAAAGTGCTGCCAGAAATACAGAGCAACCCTGTGCCTAAAACCACACACTTCTTAAACTAAACTGAACAGATGACTGTTTCGCCTCAAGTACGACTTAACCTTCCTGTCTACCTGAGCTGCCAGTCACAGTGAGCTTTTCGGGACCCGATCTAAGCCAACATTGAAGGAACTTGTGAAAGTGTCAGATCCTGTAAAATATTAGGGTCAACTGTGGGGACAAAGATCTGAAGATAAGAAATACACCATATCCAGGACTCACATGCAGAGATTTATGCGAGTCGCTTTCCATTGTAATTATCCATCTATTTTCCAACTGCTTGTCCTAGTCAGGCTCAAAGATCCGAGGACGACGACAACAAACATTTCTGATCAAAATGAATACATTTGGAGCCACATGAAAACACTGTTTTAGTTGGAAGAGGGAAAAACACAGTCCTTGAATGAAACAGAGGGCATGTTGCATGGTTTAGAAAGACATAATCAACTGAGTACCATCCATTAACATAAAACTGTTCATGGGATTACCTGTAACCGAGCCATAAAGGCACTAAAATAGTTCAGATAATCTCACTGTATATTTTAAAGCTCTAAGATGACAATAACACTCTTTTGCAGTCAGTCCAAAAGCTGTGCGAGTGACTGGATGAGAAGGGGAGTGTGTCCCACTAGGAACCCAGGTCTGGAACAGCTGGCTCAGCCTTCCCTGCACCGTGAAGCCCTCAGCTCCGAGCGTGACAGGCCACAGAGCATGAAGTCCGCTGAGGTCCACAACCGCTACGCCGCAGAGATTCCAGCTCGCCGCTGCAGGGAGACGCAGTGGCGACTTCCTCAAAGCCAGGAGCGTCCGGCCTGGATTGGCAGTCTTGCGCATCCGCCCGCGAGCGGCCGTGCGGCAGGGAGGGCGGCTTGCAGACAGCTGCCGTCCAGCTGGACGTGCAAAGAGCTGTGGTGTCTTTATGGGACAGTGAGCCTGCCTTTTCCTGCTTCACTTGCAAAGTCAAGGTTGGCCTTAACCTCAGTGGCAGACTCCTCACGGAAGGCCTTCAGCAGTGAGTGAACAGAGACTGGATCGCTCGTGTGCCATCCTGAGAACATCCTTAAACCCGACAGCACCAAAGCACTCCGATCTCATGCTTGTTTGAGTCGGCCATATTTTTCCTTCCCAATCTTCCTACTAAATGTACATTCAGAACAGCTACTGCAATCAGCTCCCTCTACCACAGGGCCACAGAAATAAGTATTTGTACCACTTCACCAAGGACCCAAACCACATGCTAACTAGAAGGGCAGCGCAACACTCTGTTCCAGGCTAAGTAACTCAGGTGCTGGATTCCAACCAATGAGCGCAGGTGACTACCAACCAATCAGGAAGTAAACATGTCACACTTACCTCAAAAATCTCAAAGCCGTATATGTCGAGAACCCCCATCACTTTCTTGCGTGCTTTAAATTGTGCCTGTCAGACCAGGGAGAGATCAGTACATATCATACAGAACCATCCGCAATAATGTTGCAGACCAATATACATCACGCTCTTCTTCAAACTGGAAACCCCAAAATAGTGTGTTTTCCTACTTTAACGTCAAACCAGACAGGAGCTTGGTGTGGCACTGTCCTGACAGCACACTCCTAAATCACGCCAGTCCATACAGACCTGCCCTCTCGTCAGGCGGCTCACTCCGTAGATTAGGTCTCACCTTGATGCTCTCGTTGATCCGAGCCACCAGCCAGCTAAACAGTCGACTGTAGAGGTTTTTGGCCAGGGCATCACGAGCGTAGTAGGCCTGTAAACACAGAGTAAATACCTTTCTTGGAAAAATATCTACTATTCCCAAAACACAGTAACCGCTAGTAAAGCGAATTATGGATCAAGGAAATCTTGGCCAAATGGTAAGAATAAAAAGGCATCCATCCATCCATCCATCCATCCATCCAATCAACCATCCATCCATCCAATCAACCATCCATCCATGGCAGAGCCTTGTCCTTTGCAGGCTGAACTCTGAGAAATGTCTCCTACAGGCACACTTTCATCTTCTATCAGGTGAACTGATCCCAGCGTCAGGGAGAAGCTCAATCTTGGGTCAAAACCAGATCTTTCCTACAACAAGGGGCTTGTTCTCATGGACCAAGAGCCGCACATCCTGGCCGCACTCGGATACAGTACACTTAGAAGTCACAGTGTGACATTAGCTTGCTTTCTATGGCTGGAGATTGACTCTGCTTCCTATTTTAGCCGGAGTGTTTGTTTTATCGGGCAGGATGTTTGTAATGGGCAGCTTTCTACGATTTTCGGGAATCGCCAACTGAGCACCGGACCATCAAAATGAGTAACAATAATGGCCAACAATTCTGTTTTTAAACCATTGGAACAGGAAGGACATGAACTGCTGACTCCTGTGTAAACCTCAGGACTGAGGGTTGGGGGGGGGGGGGAAACAACACACACAAATGAGAAGAAAAATGGCAGAAATTGAGACACTGTCACCTGGGCCACATTGAGGGTGGTGGACACCTTGTCCGTCCTGGCCTCCACGGTCCGGAAGCTGAAGGCTCTCTCCAGGGCTGCCTGCTCGATTCCCATCAGCTCGCACATCTCCTTCAGGTCTGCCCACCAGAGGAAAGACGTGAACACGCATCAGCAGCAGAAACACACTGCAGCACAATCACCGTGCAAAGTGTTACACTGCGTGATTGCCTTCTTATGCTGAAGCCACAAATTTCAGACTTTAATCTTAATATAGTTTATACAACCATACAGTTTCTTTATATGCAGATTCCTGGGGCATTTTAAGCCGTTTAATCCAGGATATAAAATTATGACCAGCACCTGCCATTAGGTGGCAGTAGTGGTTAACTAGGTAAGTGAGCAATAAACTAGTAAAAGATTTGCAAAACGTGTGTTCAGTATTTGTAGTAAATATATAATTTGGAGTATGGTGGAGAAAACAAAAAAATATTTAAAAATCAGTTTATGGTTTGGATTATTCATAGACCCTAAATGCACTCAAACATCTAAACCACAATTAAAATATGGAAAATAAGTGAAATGTGTAGAAGTGATGATGGAAGCAGGCTTTTCATTTGACCGGCGCTGACACGGCCTCACCATTCTTGTCCTTGACGCGGCTCTCATCAAAGCCATTGACACGCGACTCTGGCTTGAACTCGATGTTTCCCAGCTTGAGTATCGCGGCCACCAGCTGCAGCACCGACTGCACCTCGTCCTCCATGAAGCCCACGATCTGCATGGCGTTCTGGGGGAGAAAGCAGAGCAGAGAAAGGAGAGGTAAAAATAGTGGAGGTGACTTGCTTTTTGAAGTTTTTCGTTGTACACTGAGATCTGAACGCGGATGCTTTGGAACCGAATGGATGGATTAAAGAAGAGCAGGCCATACGGTTCTCTGGAAGAGATATGTGTTTGGTTATCACTCAAAGGTGAGATGCGACGCAAGTATAGGATGTGTTCGAGAAAGGCAATCAAGATGTCTGACCATGCGTGGGGGTAGGGTTGGCATGGGGGAGGCATGGGACAATTCCAAGGACCCCTGAATGACAGGGGGCGTAAAATATTTTGGACAATTAGATTGGTCTGGGTTGGGGGCCCAATATGATATGCTTTCATGGGGCCCAAAATTTGTAGCGGAACCCCTGTATCTGTGTGTGGGTCATGTACATATCACATTATGGAGACCAAATGTTCCAAAAATGTGATAAAAAAAAAAAAAACCTGTTATTTTTATGTTGTGGGGACCCAGCTTTTCAGTCCCCACAAGGGGAAACTCAATTTTATAAAAATCTGTAACTACAATTAAAAAACTATAAATGCCAAAAGACTTGTATTTTGTCTGGTTGCTTATAGTTAAGGTTAGGGCTGGGTAGGGGTTAAGGTTGTCATTGTTGGGATTAGGGTTAAAAATGGACAGGTCACCACAAATAGAAGAATAGAGGTCTGTGTGTGAAGGGTTGTATGGAAGTGTATCGTTTCCAAGACCTATCCGTGATCACCCTGCACCCTGCACTGGTACAGCAGTGAGAGATAAGGAGAGAGACGAGGAAGAATGGAGAGGGAGCCCAGGTCTGGACGGGGATTTGAAAGTCAGGCCTGAACTTTCTGTCAATGTCCAGGCCACCATGTCCCTGGTGTTGGACCAGAAAGGTCTTACGCTGTTTGCTGCAAATATCCAAGAATATGCAAAACTGAATGTTTACGGATCAGTGTGAAGGTTCACTAAAACATCCAGCCACATGCTTAATGACCCACGAAAAGTATGCAACCATTAAATCTGCATTTCAGTACATAGTTGGTATGTATGTTTTAGCCTATTTTTCAGAAGTTTACTTCCCTTGCATTTTGGCTGCATTTCAACACAACACAATTTCAACACTACATGTCCTACCTTAGCATGTCTTCACTGACATTTATTTTCTCTTATATGTCGTTATGATCTTCATCAGTAGTATTTTGCGATTCCTGATTTTATTGCCCGTTCATAACAGCAACGCTGTGACGCCTAGTGTCGGCTTTGTTCTCACACTTAAGTGTTTGTGTTAAGCACGAGCTTGAGAAAAACCCGCATTAAACGGCAAAGCTGGCGGCGGGAGCAGAACAGGATGCACGGCGCTGAGCGGTAGCGCCCATCTGGAGCACCAGCTGCACTGTGACTAAATAGGGAGGAAGTGCAGGGAGACCACAGCACTGCAAACAGGAACCAGGAGGGTGACGAAGCTCGGCTGTTACCTGACAGGCCCTTAACTCCGCCCCCAAACATCTGCTTGGACAGCAGGTGCTATGCGGCTCTGGGGTTCTCAGTACAATGCTACGTCTCATTGAACCAATGGGCTTGTTTTTACCACTACGAATGCTCCTGATTGGATAAAAGGGTTCAGGGATCCTGTGAACCTATGATATACCATATAAACACAATCAGCAGACTCTGCTACTGCACACTTTAATAAATCAGTTCAGGTTTCTTTTTTATATATATTTTTTTTAAAGGGGTAAGGTGTAGAATGAGCTGTGCAGATTATTAAACTTTCAAAAAACGGAACTCATGTCTGTAACCCCAAGGAACAAAATTAACCAGAAATCCTCCTGCTGCTGGATAATTACTGTACACACTGTATAGGAGGCAAATAGACGGAGGAGGCCATTTAAGACTTGACTGAGATATCCATGCTAAGAAAAGGCTAACCTGAAACGTCTTCCTACAGCAGGGCTATTCAACTCAGGCCCTCGATTCCAAATCCAGGCCTTGTTTTCAGTTCTCCCAGGTAGTTAGTTTAATAATTACTGATTCTGATTGGTCAGAGGCTTCACACCTGGCTCACAGGGCAAGGGATCAGTCCTTGAGGACCGTGAGTTGAATAGCCCTGTCCTACAGGCTTTAACTGTTTACAGTTTTTTTTAGATGACAAGGCCACATCCACCTCCAGGGTCTCAGGACTCACCCTGACAGTCCGGAAGTTGGCCGCATCATCCAGTCCGTTGACGGAGGCGGAGTCCAGGCTCAGATAATTGTACTTGCCTAGGTCCCTGTCCAGCTTCAAGGTCTCTGAGGTACGAGAGATACAAACAGAGAGATTCAAACGCTGGGTTAATATAAAGGGGAGGGTGGGAACGTTGCTTCACCCCCATGCAGTATACATGACGTCCATCAAATCATCAAACTACAAGCCTGGAGAACAGGACCCAGCACAATTTTTGTTCCAAGCTCAAACCAAACTTGATTCATTTATTTTGAATCAATTCATTCATTTCACCCTTATAATAGGACCAACGAGTGGACTAACCACTGGCTGGGATCCACCAACATCTATGTCCTCTGGGAAATGAGGAGAACGTGGCCCAGATGCTAACATTCACTTCCCAGAGGTCAGAGGAACCGTGGGTCAAGATAGGAAGACATGCAGTCCAGAGGATTTGCATCATGTATTGGGTGGTCATTCCACCCAAACTGCATTTGCCTAAATAGTTCCAGGCCTGTTTCTATGGCCACAACAGCTACAGTTACAGCCCACCTCATCAGCCAAACTCAATGTGGAAACAGCAAATGAGTACCTCCACAGATCTTTGAACTGAGACTAGTATACAGTTAAGATTAATAGCTGCACAGAGCAGGCTGCTGATTGGCAGTAATGAGATGGTTCAGGTCCTTCCATTGGATAATGCTGAATATGAAAAATTAAATCAAATTAAAGCATATGAACAGAGCAAACATGCAAGAACGCTTGTGGTAAAAAAGAATCCCAAAAACTGAGAGTATGATCTAAAATATGATTTTGCTGACAAATTAAGAAGCAGCTGATGCAAAATCCTGCATACTAGCCGACTTTAGATCACTCAGAATACTTTTCGATTAACCAACAGCTTGGTTAAAGTGTGATGCGTAACAGATGTACCATAACGTGTACACGCCCAGCACAACATTTAACCCTAAATTCATTTCACGCTTCATAAAGAGGTTCCATGGACCATAGACTGGCGTAAGAAAAAAATCACAGGTCCCAGACGAGAAAAATTCTGAAAAACTCTTCCCAGACCGAAACATACTGGGTTCAATGCACTGATTACATCACAGTTCCTGATGTCCACACCCATCATTTTTGGAAGGAGCAGGGTGCAGTTACTGAACATGAGCACTCGGAATTATGCAGCTGGTTGATGGTCAAGGTCGATGGCTTGATGGTCACTCACTCAAGGTGTCCTCAGAGGCGCCTGAGAGGAGCTGGTAGAAGATGTGGAAATTCCTCTCCCCTCTGGGTTGCTTGACCACCCGAGACTTCTCCAAGAGATCTGTAACGGCATCACATTGAGACAGAGTCATTGAGATAAGCTTGCAGTGCTTACTGTGATTTAGCATAGCTGGGTATAAAGCCGTTCAGGTTTTCAAGTTGGCTGAACAAGTAGTTAATTCGACTACCTCCATCACTAGGCTACCACCATGGAAAACTGATCATCTGCCAAGGGTTCCAACAATGTTGTCACACCAGCAAGATGACCACAAGTCATGCTGGAAGTCCACACAATGCCTACTGCCTAAAGCTAATGAACTAAACCCAAAAATCAGGCCTCAGGGGGGACCAGAGCCTACTGGGGAATTGAATAGTCTAAGAAGAGACCAAAGGACAGTGAGATGACAATCTAGTGAGTCAGGGTTTAGCCGGCCAACAAGAGCCTAATCATTTAACCTCTGTGTTGGACACTCAGGTCTGTGTGAGGGTCCCCAAAGGACCCATCTCTGGCATCTCTAGTGATAGCCACAGCTAGACGTTCCTCAGGAAGCGTCTCATCAGTAACGCAGCAGGTCTAAAGAGAGCCACTCCCCAGCTTCTCTTTGCCTGCTGTTGAGCCTTGTTGTGCACTTGTAATCAGCATTGAGAGACAAAGGGCCCCCCCTCTCTTTGGATCACATGATCCACTCCATAGGACCGATTGGATGCAGATGTCTAAGGATCCCCCCCCCGAGGGAGATTCTGTGCTGACCCATCACCTTTTGTTCCTTCGAGCAGCTCAGGCATGGGTTCATTGCTTTGCACAAATTAAACTTAGTTCTTTTCTCTTAACTACAACTACTGTTTGCAGGTGGTGTTTAGCTCAGGAGGTTATGGGATCTGAGCCTGTGTCCAGATCATGGGTCTGAATCCCACGTCTGACAGGGTAATCATATCATTACTGGGCCCCTTTGCAAGGCCTTTATCCCCAGCTGTTCCAGGGGTACTGGATGCTGGATGACCCCTGCTTTCTGACCACAAACGTTCTTGCATGTTTGCAGCATTTCATAACAGCAGGAAAAGCACAGGAGAAAGCAGCCATTCTGTAAACAGCGAACAGAGAAACAGGAGCTACTTTGTAAAAACAGACTGGCCGCGACGAGCCAGCTGCAGACGTGCTGAGCAGGTGTCTGAGAAGCACAGCTGCACCACTCTAAAGCCCACAGGGACATAATTTACTAGCAGGTGACGACTTTTAATAACAATAATAAATAACAGAACTAAGAAGCTGTGCTTTTCCACTAATCACACAACAGGACATTTTCACCGAAGACGCTTAGGAAGAATAGCTTTTGCAGTGAGGTTTAGCAGAATCACTGTACAAGTCAGTCCCACATGCAGCAAACTGTAAAGTAAATAGGTAGATTAATATTGCAAAACAGGAATATGAAGGACAGAGAGAATGACACAGACACTGGAGGGGGGGGGGGGGACCCTATTCCTATTCTCCTGACTGACACCAGGCCCTATGGAGCAAAAGTCTGACTCACACAGGACCGGCCAGTGAGCACAGTCTTTGCAAGGGGTCACGCTTGCCGTCCTTGGAACAAACGCTCACATAAATACACTTCTACGAAAAGCATACAATGTTTGCAAATTTACAATCCTCCAACTCGGTCACGATGGGGACACTAAGCACTTGCATTTGCATAGAGATGAAAAACGGCTGGACAATGGGCAGCACGGTATCGGCCAGAGCCTGCGGACGCGGAGCCAGATGGGGGGCAGAGAGCTGGGGAGGGCGGGGCCTGCATATTTTACCCACGCTACCGGTTCTGCATTTTCTATGGCCGACAGACGCCTCTGGTCCGTGACCTTTCTCTGCCTCACAAGGAATGCTTGACTCAGCAGAGGAGGGTAGGAACTAAATACCCCCCCCCAGCACAGACAAAACAGAATTTAGCTTTGGAAGCCCATGTCAGTAGTGTTACAGTACAGACTGGCACAATGGCAGCTAATTTAATAAAGCAAAAAGCACAACTAAAGTAATGTTACATTTAATTAATGACATTTAATTAATGATACGTTTTGGAATCAACCAAGAAATGTAGATATCTCTTTGATTGACGCCAGTCCAAAAAAATCTGCGATAGATTTTTCGCTCTCTGCATGAATGTAAGATACTGGAGATGTGGACAAGTCATTCCATCCCTTTATACTCACAGTTGCTGATGACACCACCCAAAGGGTCTCCTTTGAAGTCAAACTCAATATCCATGTACTTCCCCTGTGGAGATAAATTCAGGATAAAGCGTGCTTAAATAGAAACATACCTAGTGGCATTCTAAATTAAAGGGGATGTCAAATCCTCGCCTGTGCAAAACGTGCAAGAATAGAAGAGCATGATTAGAAGCTGCATGTACCATCCACCCCCCCCCACGCACACCTCTGGATCACCGCCGGTTCCAGGGAGCGTGGGGGCGGCTTCCTACTGCATCTCATATATTTCTGGATGAAACTGGGATTGGCAGTGCAAGGCAGGGAGCTTTCCATCCAAGTTCTGGGATTTCGTTTGCAGTTGCACACGCAGACACAAAGCTGGCTGCAGTCACGGATAGGTTTCCGATGGTGTAATGCGCTACTGTACGAGACCTGCGCTTTCCTCCCCCAGCCTGAGTAGGAACGGCCAACAGTAAAGCCAGTGTTGCGCAGCCTGTTTGATTCTATTCATGATGGAGGTCGTCTGACGGCAAAACCACCACTGCAGGGGATGCAGGCCATCATAGGCAGATACCAGCATTTAAAGGCGAAAGCGACGGGCAATCTGCCAGTTTGAACAGCAAATAACGTTTCGGATGGGCCGATACACCCACGACTGATACCTAGAAGCTAGGCTAACTGCTTTGGGGGGGAGAGGGGGGGCAGTTTCATCTCATGAATGCTCCCAACGAGCTAGGTCAACTGCTTTTGGAGAAGAATGGCTGAATACGCAACTCCCATACAGCAGATCGTCCATCTGACCACATGCATGCTGGTATTTTGTCTACCACTTCCAAGTATTTAATGAGGAAGTGTCCAATATCGGGAGCAGGTGGATGCCAATATTCTTGTGTTGAAGAGGGATTCCACTAAAGGACAGATTTCACAGTTGAGGATTGGGGGTTCCCCCCCCCCCCACCCGAACATACAGGAAAAGTTTCCATTCGGAGGCTAAATATAGAGCAACGCAATTTCACAAGTACATTGAATTGTGAGAGTCAGGATCTCACCCAAGACCATCACTAGGGCTGTTTTAGGGGGAGTCCCCCCCCCTCCCCCGATTAAATGTATACTAGTTTAAATAATGAGTTCTCGTTCTTTTCAATGAAAATCAGACCCCCAAGTAAAAGCTTAGCCTCCCTTTTCATAAATCTCTAACAATGTTCCTGATTTTGAACTGTAGCTTGGGGTGTATCAAGTATACAAAAGCACAGCAACAGCAATGACATTTTTATTTCGCGTGAAGCCAATCACAGGTCAAAGGAATCATAAGGAAAACTGGGTCATATCCTTTTTCAGAATGCTTGCCCAAACTTTCCTGCTGCTTCCCTGCAGTTTACAGTGCGCTGCCTGGACAGCTTATCCCGCTTAATCTTAATAGCACAAAGCTCCAGTGTTCTGAAGCCAAAAGCATGTGGCTGCAGGGGCCAGACACCTTCCCAGGGTCTCCCTGAGGGACCATCCCAGGCAGGAGCACAAAGACGAAGCTCCTGATGAACGCTCACATCCTAAATAAAGAGCTGGCAGAGACCGTTACAAGCTGCGGCCAAAACGTTACATCACGCTGAAATTTCATTTGCGGCTCGTGTGTTATTTTCCAGAAAGCAATAGCTCTCTGCAATGTCAAAAGATGATATTAAGTCACGAAAAAAATGTATGAGAAAGTAGAAGAAGAAAAAAAAACAAAAAAACATGAAGAAATATTTTATGGCTCATCTGCCAAATGACAGCAGGGGAAAACCAGGCTACACCCAATACGGGAAAAAAAAACGTGTCGTTACACAACATGAAAATCATTCTTTCCTTATAATTAGGGAAAGCAGGCACCTTGAAAGATGAATCTAACTAAGGTTTGCATATACCTGACCTACAGTATACACTCACACCACGGACAGACAGAGAGACACGCCACTCAAACATATGCAGTTGCAGAACAAAATGTTTACCACTTTAAGATGGGGGCGGGGGGGTTATACTATCAACAGAAGTCTGTTTTGGGGACAATTTTGGAAGAGAAAACATTTCCACACACACACGCACACACACACACACACACACACACACATGACTGTCATTTGATTTTAATAGGCATGAAGGCAAATACTCACAAAACGAGATGAGTTGTCATTCCTCACAGTTTTGGCATTTCCAAAAGCTGAAATGGGAAAAAAAGAAAAAGTCACACAAGGTCATTAAGCCACAGTCAGTATCACAGGAATTTTCATCCAGTTTTGATTTTACATGGGTAACAGCTTAGCTTGTAGCTCAGAGGGTTACGGCCTCCGTGTCTGTAACTGGAAGGTCGCGGGTTCACATTATGTCCTTGGCAGAATAGTCACTTCTCTACTGGGCCTTTGAGCAAGGCCCTTAATTCCCTGAAATGTTCTACGGACGCCTTATAAATGGCTGACCTTGTGCTCCAACCTCAAGCTTTGCTCTCTCCTGTAAATATGTGTGTATGTCTCTCAAAGGAGAGCAAGAAGCAATATGTGAACACTAAAGAATGGGACACGTACCTGTTTTTGAGTAAATGGCAAATAAAACATCGCTTAGCACGGGTGAGACTGAATGAATAGGAACTCACCCTCCAGCACTGGGTTGGATTGCAGGAGCTGCTCCTTTACCTTGTTGACCTCTTGACCTTTACCACACACTGCTGCCACATATGACATCACCAGCTTGCTGGCCTCTGCAATGCACAGCAGCAGAAAATTAAGACCAGGGTCTTCGACCCAAAACGCCGATTCATCTCTACCGACCCGGACCGATACATAGGGGGATAAGGAGCGAAATCCATGCTTACAACATTAAGGACTTAACTGTAACGCCTTTCATGGAAAAACATGTGCTCATGGTAGATGTTAAATTGCATGTTAATGTGCTGCGAAATGTGTGATTTGGTGGCTTGCAACATTGTATCATTTTTGGTTCTATTTCATGGCACCAAATGCACTTTAAAATAGAGGAAATCTTACATTTATAGCTAAAAAGATCAGATATGTAGAGATGTAATTTCATAACACCCAAATGTTAAGGGTGGCCAAGACTTGCAGGTATAAACCCACAAAATTAAGAGATAATCCAAATCCTAACTCCCATTCGGTGTGGATGTGTGACAAACGAGTATTACATTTTTAAATGTAAATAGACAAACTAAGATTAACATCATCCACAACAGAAACAAAAATGCTCCCTAGTAACTACACCAGTGTCATAAAACAGCAGTTTACAAAGACCAGCATAAAAAGCCGCTATTTTATGTACAAATCTGCTCCAGATGACACACACCTCCAACTTGTTTCGATAAACCCCAACATGTTCTCTTGGATATGGGTTAAAGTTATGGCTCTTAAAATGGCATCAATGCTGTTAAATACAGCGGATAAGCACGCATAATAATCTAATAATCACTTTGAGGAACCTACAGGTTTCTGAGCAGACAAAGACCGTAGCATATTCCAGATCCGACGACCAGACAGCCCCGCGCCTAAACACATTTGTATATTATAAAGCTAATCAGGTTTCGTTCATTCTAAATAGCATAACAGCTGTATCCTTGTGATCAACACAAGTCTGAGCTTTCCACGGTTACGTTCTTCGCTCCACTGCAGACCAGCATGAGTAACAGAAAGCAGACTGGAAAGAACATAAACAAAAATACATAACTAGCTTTTATTGATCTTCGGCTGGAGAATGGCAAGAATGAACTCCAGCCTGCATGAATGTTGATTCTAGAAGGCTGTGGGGTCTATAGGGAATATGGAGGACACTGCACAGGTATAAAGGGGTTCCGTTTCATTCTACCCAACAACCTTGTAGTGCTGGACGTGCAAAAGGACCTAACGTAACAGTTTCCTGATGTCACGCTTCCAAGAACATTGTGTGGTTGCATTTGGGTCAGCAATACGTGTCAATCTGTGCAAGTACTCCTGCTTCTGATCCCGTCCAGGTGGAAATGCAGCTGTGATCCTATTGCAAACGTAATGTGGAAAATGCCCCAAAAAAAGACATTCACCACGTCATTTAAAAAAAAAAAAAAAAAAAAAAAAAAACCCACCAGGCTCAAAAAAAAGTCACCCCCACAGGCTTGTGTTGTAGGAAAATGCACCATTAAACCAAACTCTGAGCCATGTCTACATACACAAGAGAAACACGATCGAAACATTCCAGAAAGAGGGCCACAAGGGGAAAAGGTTGTTTCACCCAATCGGATCCCATTCCTCTTGCCATCTGCTCATCACTTGCAGTGTATGTGAATGACTATTCTTAGCCAGGGCACCAAGACGTCAGTGATAAAGATCAACAGACATCAGTTTGGCTCCAGTTTGTGCTCATTGTAAGGGCATTTCCACATGCAGGTCACGGCACGCTTTATTTATGGAAACATGGACACTTCACCAAGGTATATTAAAACCGGTTCTACTGGGCCAGAGTTTTTGCTGAGCACAGTGGAAGAAACCAGATCTGCAAGCAACATGGCATCACACCGCTTCTCAAGGTCCCACAGAGAACAGGAAGAAAGCTTTGACCCTTTGCCCTGTGAGGTCAAGCAAACTGCAGCAGTGCACACATGACCATTTCCCCAACACAAGCCAAACCAGAACACTGAACCAATGCAAGAAGCAGCAATACATACCAGTTTTCCCAGCACCGCTTTCCCCAGTGATGAGGATGCATTGGTCTTTATCCTGGTCCCTCAGAGATCGGTAAGCTTCATCTGCTAAGGCGTAGCTGAGAAAAAAAAAAAGTGGGGGGACAATTGTGGTGAGCAGGCTTTAAAATATCTCCCAAATCAGAGCGCGGATACGGACACTGAAGCGACTGCATCGGCCCGTTTTCAGCAGTAGGTGGCGCTGTTTTAAAGCAAAGACTAGGTGCTGCTGTACCCTTTGAGGAAGGATGTTAAGTTAAATTTCTGTTCAAAATGTACATACATGGGACACGGAACATTACATGAACAACCCGTTACCATTCATATGCTATTTCAGATAGGAAAAGCGGCAGGGATGTGCGCTTCTAGGTTAAACTGAAGACATTTTCTAATTTTAACACATTTCGGACGACCCAGTGAAACTGGGCCATATAAAAATCGATTAAAACGCTGCTAGGATGATATGCCTCAGTTTGTGCAGTTAAAATTTTACTATAGAATAATACATATTTATACAATATATTACTGGTGTGTGTATATTATACATATTGCCTGCAGGATGCAGAAAACCCTGGGAACTATCACAAGAAAAAAAATAAAAGAAATAAACTTGCAACAATGACGTCACAAACTAAAATATTTTAAAAAGTGGAAGGTTGCACATCCGGACGTAATTTGTTACATAATAGGAGGCAAATATTCTGGAAAACTGAGTTACATTCCTACAGCTGCCTATGATTTTTCTTTTAATCATTTGAAATTACTACAAGAAAAGAAGAAAGCTGTACTACATCATCTGGTCGGGCTTCCTGAAATTTAAAAATAGGTCCTAACATGAGGAAAATTTTAAACCAATTACAGCAAACGCCTTCCAACCAACCCGGAATTAATATCCACAGTAGGGTCCAATTTAAATACAAAGCAGACAAGTTTCAGGCAACCGGTCACACGGTCGGGGTGATAATGAAGATACCCATCAAGGAAGATCTTACTACATCTTTGGGGAATAAAAGGAGACTGACCACCCCTGAAAGCAGCACATAAAAGAGCCAGTCTCCTGTCCAATGCGGCCCCCCCCTCAAAAAAGCACCAAATTAGCAGCAGTTCCAGACAAGATGGGGGGGGGGGGGGTTTGTTTGCTCTCTTCCTTGTCCTACATTCCATCACCCAGGAATTTTTCCAGAGGGAGCATTAATAAGACCTCGGCATGTAGAGCTAGTGCTGCATGCTGTTTAACAGCTCTACGCCCCCCCCCCCGTGCAGGCGCATTAATGGCCCGTCACATGGGCCAATAGGACGGAAGCTCCCGCAGGCAGGCGGCGGCGGCTGGTGCTTCTCACCCAAACACCTCAGGTGGGGGCACAAGTCCAGGCCACCTTGTTGGGGGGCGACAAGCAGCAAGAGGTGATGCCACCAAAACGCAAACCTTGGCAGCATTAGGGTGTAGATTGGGAAAGGCTGATGGGAAAGTGATGGTCAGGATAACGATGGAAACTGGCTGGTCCTCTGGGCCACACCACGGGTGCCTGGGCGTCTCATCGGCCTGAGGGTAGGGAAACGCCCTTCAAGATAGTAGCGCACCTGAGGTTCTACCAGGGCTAATGTGAGAGACATTTCTACACACACACACACACACCACACACACACTGATAAGCACCCACATCAATCTTTGGTTATATTTCTCAAAACCAGCACCGCCGTTGTAAAGGCGGAGAAGAGTGATTTTCCACACATCTGTGAAGATTTTGAACTAATCCCCTTAAGAGGGAGATTAAATCGAGGGGGAACAAAGAAATTGGGAACATCTGCCAGGTCAAGCCTGCATACAATCTTGGGGGCTAACAGCCCAAGGCTAATAAGACTGACCAGACTAAAGGGCTTCAGGACAACTTACATCCCCCCCCCTCCAAAAAAATAAAAATGACCCCCGGTGTTGCTAGTGAGGACATCGCCATGTGACTGGCACATACACGAGCGCGGGCAGCAGTTGTGCCAGCATGCTACTCCACATCTGAACCTGCTTTGCGAAGACGCCAAGGATAAATACAGGCGTCCTGCCGTGTGCGCTGTGATAGGCTAGTCAGCAGTGGCCCAGGGCTGTAATTTCTGCTTCCTTTATGTGACGGCGGGCCCAAAACCACAACTGCAAGAGGCACGGTGCAGAAAATAGCCTCTGTGTTCCTCCCAGCAGAGCAGCGGGAAGGTTGGGACAGTGTGTGCTATGTACCCTCTTGGGTACGCTCTTCCTTTTTACGCATTCCACATTTCCCTCAAGGAAGTTGTCTTCCTCTTCATGTGCTTTACAGTTCACCTGTGGACATGCTCTTCCGCTCCTCACAAACTCAGTTCTTCGGCTACGATCAAAGCCAGTGAGGAGCCCTTACAGTTGACAGAAGCCGAACGGCTCATACAACTTCGATGTAGGGTCATCTCTGCTCTGGAACCCTCAGTGAAAGACAGAGCTCCTGTGAATATTAACCTTCATGTACAATTGAGATTAAAACCCTTCATTCAGGGTCCCACAAAGGAAAACACCGTAATTTTTTCCTTAAGTTCTATCTTTAAGCTGTGCTGTAAATGCCAGGTCAAAATTGCATCTTGGGACAAATGATTGGCAGGAAACGGACGACCACAGGGGTGATTTAGTCCTCTCAAAACATGGTGTAGAAAACTGACGGCAGGGATGCTTCAAGGGTGACTGGATGTTAAAAGAGATGTGGACAGGTCCGTAAAGATGTAAGTGCATGTCCGACGGCATTTCCAAGATAAACTACAGGTTTCAAGGTTGATAGAGGACAACCTTTTAAATGAACATGATTCTGGTTGGGGTTCGATATCTCAAATTTTAAACAAAAGAACAAAAAACTCCTGACCTCAAAAGGTGACAAGCTTCCCCCTTCGCAGATGTCCAGAAGAATGGGATCATGCATGCGATATTATAATAGTATTGTCTGGCTATTACATCACCGAGAATTCCATGTAATCTTTATGGGAATTCCAGGTGCAGTTTCCTTCTAGCCCTGACAAAAGCCCCCAGACACTACTGTTGTTACTTCCTGTGTAGCGCAGCCAGGCTGACTTTTGTTCACGTAGCTCTGGAAAACTTCCCCAGTTCCGCATCTGTCCTATTATCGTGGCACTTAGATCTTACTCAGCTTTACTCTACTACAGCTGCTCGGTGCCCGTTTATTTATAGATGAATGAGGACTTACAGAGCACTTATCCGGGATCAGCTTCATCTCCCGTGCACAGTATGGATTTGGCTGAGGATTCAGCCTGGGAAGGCTAATCTGAGATCAGCCTTGGAGATCCATCGGCAGCAGGAAAGACCAGACCGCGGAGTAGCCACGGGAAGTGAAGAACTGTGGCTCATTTAAATGTTAAGAGTAAGGCAGGCGTGCGGACTGGAACCTGGCTGCCCGCCCAACCCAACCCCCCCCCCACACACACACATACACAAGCTTGCTTTAGCAGTTAGCGGTTTTCGCTTTAGCAGTTAGCGGTGCTGTCACATGGACTCATTTTACTGTAACAGAACCCCGTCATGGCAAAGCACTAAAACTCAGCAATGTCAGAAATCAAAATGTTTTCCAAACGTTTAGATTTACTCCCATTTTTAAGCAAATTAAGCTCATCTTATGAGGACATCCTCGCACTACCTCTCTGGTTTACAGCACAGCTGCTACTGAACAAGTTAAAATTTTCCCTCAACAAGATGGATTTAATGACCACACACACACACACACTGATAGCAGCTACACACGAACAGGGTCATAAACATTATTGTTTAACAATAGGAATCAACCTAGTGTGTAAATGTTTATGTCATGTGTGTATAGATACAACTGGAAGCAGAAGAATTTTATAAGGGGAAGAAATGATTGATAATTATGGTGATTAGTAATTAAGTTAGGAAGGTTATGCCCAGGAAGCTCATTTCATTTGCTCTGAAGAAGCCAGATCAATGGTGAGACAGGAGAATGGTGGCTATGCTGTCATCCCTGTTGGATAACATCTCCCACCCCATGCAGGAGACTCTGACAGCACTGAGCAGCTCCTTCAGTGGCAGGCTTCTGCATCCACGATGTAGGAAGGAGAGATTCAGAAGGTCTTTCCTTCCATCCGCTGTCAGACTCTATAACAAAGTCCTTGCAGCTGACCACACACACATAGACTAGCAAAACACACATCCAGTACACCATAGTGTTTTCTTATCTTCAATATCTCTGAGTGCAATTCCACAGTGTTGTACATATTTATATATTTCCACTATGTATGTATGTATGTATGTATGTATGTATGTATGTATGTATGTATGTATGTATGTATGTAGAGTTTTTATCCTACTGTTTTAAAATTTTGCTGCTCTATTCTTGTACTGTCCCCTTTCTGCCACTTGTGGGACTAATAAATGATTATCTTATCTTATCTTATGGTGTCTAAAGACGTTTACTACCCACTTAAGTTTATGAAAACTTGAGGAATCAGCACATTTCAGCTGTGAAATATGATTGATTATTGCTGCTAACAGATGATACAGCACTTATGATGCAACAAGCCCCCACAAGTTTTCCCAAACATTTTTATTACAGTTTTTTCTTAAGCAGAAAGCCTGGGTCAATGTTATCAGCAGAACATTAATCTCACTGCAGTCTGATAAAGATTCAATGGAAGCTAATCTGGGTTCATCATTGTTAAGAACTAACCGCTTTAAAACTTGGGGCACTGGCAGAATTTATGTTTATCACTTATTAGCATCAAGTGCATCTAGACACGTGCATCTGCCAGGACTGATTTATGCATCTTGCGTGGTAAACTGCACAGAACACGGAAAGGCTGACAGAGGTAGCATTACACAGCAGGGAATTATCAGTTAGCATGATGATCTCAAACACAGCCAGCAGCGAAAGGTTTGTGGGCTTAAATTACTCATAGAAGCAGCACATTGTACTTGCAGAACAGAAAAATAACCTGCCGTTTGCCACCCGATTACACTGTGATTCAAAGGGAAGAGAGCCGTTTAGTATTAACTGCTATCAGTTTTAAGGACTCGTGATGCCTTTGTTTGCATAGGACTTTGTTTTGTTTATTTTGAATAATTCT